CCGCTAACTCCAAATATAGACATTAGGAAGGCAGCCTGCTGGTGCCCCACTCCCACACTGAGGCTGTAAGGAACCAGGTAAACCAATGGAGCGCTGCAGCCATATGCCAGAAACAGGAGGGACACCGACAGAATCAAGAAGTCGGGTAACATGAGAAATCCAAACTCCTCCCTGAACTCGAGACAAACACTGTGACATCTGGACAAAGTTTTGGTGTTAACTGTGATGCAGTCTTTCTCCAGGTTTGCCATATCTTTCTCCAACATCCTTTAGATGGAAAAGAACAGAAGAAAATACATTAGGATGGATCACAAAATTTACCTGAGTATATATTAATTCTTTAAGGATTCGTTTGATTTTGTGAAATATGCTTATTTGCTTTCTAGTGAGAGTTACATTACAATTGATATTGACCATCATGTCTGTGCATTAACTATGGGGCTAATACCAGGATACCTCTACTTAATATTAGCATAAAGGCTGGAAGCAGTTAGCCTGACTCTGTTAAAAGTAAAAAAGGAAAATCTGCCTACTGGCACTTTTTAAGCTCCCGTATTAACAATAAGTCTAATTAATGACAAGTTGTAGTTTTACAGGAGGTTATGTGATGGACTATTTTTATTTTATTTTATTTTTTTCAAGTGAAATTCCCCAAAATTGTATTTGATTATAACTATTCCTGTGACCAATTAGTTTATTAACTTCATCAACAGATATTTTGATAATTGATTAATCATCATAAGTCATTTATGAAACAAAATTGCAAAACTTTTAAGGATGTTTTTAATTGTAAATCTATTATCTTTGGGTTTTGGACTGTTTTTTTTTTTTTTTTACAAAACAAGCAATTGTGTGTCCTTTTATGGATGAGCTGCTTAATCAATTAATCAAAAACAAAACTGATAAACTAGTCCATGAGAAAAAATAATCTTAAATTGCAATCCTAGCATGGAAATAATCTCAAGCAGTATAGTAGCAATGGAGCAGAGGACTTGCCTTTTACCTCCCTTTGGTTCCAGCGGCCTCATCAGAGCACCACAGACACACAGGTTGGAAACAAATCCTCCCAGGACGAGCAAAGCTCCTCTCCAGGAGTAATACTCTATAAGCAGTTGGACTGCAGGAGCCAGGATGAAGGTCCCAATGCCAGTACCTGAAGATGAGGTGAAACTGGATTTGATGGAATGAAATGAAGCAAGGAGGGTAGAAGAAGCATGGGTAGAGGAACTTCCAAACAGAATTAAAAGCACAGCAGAAAATAAGTAAAAGAAGAAGGAGGAGGTAAGGAGAAAAGTGAAGAGAGGATGGGAACATAAGGTGTGAATGACAAGAAAACAAAGCAACAGGTAAGTAAAGATGTAACTACCAGACAGGGCGATGCCATAGGCCAGAGCTTTCCTCTCATTGAAGTACCTTCCAACCATCGCTATGGCTGGTGTGTAGCTAAGAGCAAAGCCAAGACCTGTAGAGGATGGATAAAGGGGTTTGGAATTTGGCAGAATCTGCCAAATGTTGCCAAATCTAATCAGAGGTTTGGCTGTCAAAAGAATACGATGCCCTGATACGCCCTGCTATATGCATTACAGTACATTATATTACATTCACTTCGCAGATGCTTTTGTCCAAAACAACTTACAATGAATACATTCAACCCCCACAGGAACATGAAATGTCATCCCTCCCAAACAAACAACTCAGGCTCATCCAGTGCCTATGTAGACGTGCTGATATATATTTTTTGTTGTATTTTAATTTTAATTTTAATTGTTAATTAATTAATTGTAGTATTTAAACAGCAGTATGTTCTTGTATGGGGCGATGGAGTGTAGACTGAAAAGACAATCATTCTCATAAACAGGGTTAAGCTGCATATGTAGACTCAAGGCCACCAAGAGGGAGATTAAACCCAGATACACCATTTTAGACTACATCACTGGTCAGATGTGTAGCATTATTCCTCCTGGCCAAGTCACCAAATGTTCTTTCTCTGTCCTACATTGTTGAGTTCTTTTTTTTAGGAATCGTGCGTTGGAAGTTAGATGTTTTGTGCCCAGGTATAATGGTAGGTGAGGGGCTTGTGTACCTGTCACGATGCCCAGGGAGACGTATAGATGTTCAAGACTGGAAGCGAAGGAGCTGAGGACCAGACCAGTAGAAGACAGCAGACCCCCGAGGATCACTGTACCTCTGCAGGAGAGATGGTTCCCAAGGAAACCACCCAGAGGAGCTGGAAACACAGTTTGTGTGGATTACTCTTATTTCACTGATGGTTAAGCAGTTCACACACAGTAGCTCAAACATATGAAGGGTACACAGTCTGTAAAGAGATAATTGTTTTTGCATCTTTGTGCACTTTATTTAACCTGATGTTTTATTGCACTCAAGGTTTGATGTACTCATACACTTTGTGGTTTTGTCTGGATGTACTCTATATCCATCAAATAACATTTTATAACTTTCAATCTGCATCTGGATCTGCATCAAAACAGTGACAGACAAATACAGAATGCATGTGTCTGATGTTTTCATTCAGGTAAGGGCTTATGAGAAGCATGAAGATGCTCAGAAATTCTCATGCATTTAAGAAATCATTGTAAAAATTCCCTGAGCCCACAACAGACATGGGATCCCCCAACAAATACAAGTAAGTTTTGCTTTACCAAATCTGGTTTAACTGCCTTCAGACACTTTTACTGATGGTCTTACCACAAAGCATGGTGGTCGAGTCGATCAGACTGTGAATCCATGCGGTGGAGGAATAATCCTTCTCGAAGTGCAGCTGGAACTCCACAAAGAACATGGAAACACATCTGGAAACAAAACCAGGGGAGGTTGGATTTATTGCATATTTACACAACAATCTGCAAAAAGGTCACATTGATAAAAAGCTTTTATATTTGCTGAATTGTTGAAATGTTATCACTGTCTGGAAGCTCTTCCTCAGAAAATCTCCCCCGCAATTATCAATATCATTAGCATTATGCAGCTGGTTTGAAACAAACAGATACCACTATAAGTTAGGCGATAAACTGGTGATCAGATGACTCAGATCTTATTAGGTGTCAGCATCATGTCAGAGTTGATAGACTAGAGTTGAGTATGTTTATTAGTTTATGGCTGTCATTCACATCCACCAACCTGAGAGCTCTGTCCTGCCTGAGCCGTTTTATAGGAATCTCATTGTCTATTATGTAAGGTTAAATGCTAGTACAGGTCAACAAAGTGAAACTTGAATCTGAGAGTGGTTTAACAAACAGTGGTGTACTCTCTTGTGACAATTTTATTCCTTTATTGATCAAGGAGTACAATAAATATTGAGAAACATAGCGAGTTATGAAGGTAGATGAGATTTGGTATCGCATGCAATGGGCAGAGGTGGACCTTAATCTTCACCCCTGAAAGTGTCAATGCCACCTTTGAATATTTCTCTAGATCCGAGCAAGCACAGCCCGGCCGGTAACATCCGGTTTAGCCCTCCGATAACCTGAATGGGGATAAAGTGATTTAATCGTGTGGCTACTCATTTCCAAATGTTACGGTGGGCTGAATAGATCAAAAAAATGTCTACCTGTTTCACAGCCACTTTTACCACAATGTAAGCCATTGCTGTGATTACACGGTTTAGCAACTATGTCAAATAGACCTTTTTTAAAACCATTTCTCAAGCTGAGACGAAAAAGAAATGCTTTTCTTCCTTTCAATAATGAAAAACTATTAATATTAATAATACATTGAAATATATGGTGATATAATATTAGACAACAAAAGAGATGACTGTGATTTCAGTTGGATTTATCACAAATATATCTATATCACAAATTGTTGTTCTCACTTCTTCAATGTACAAATATTAGCAGTGGAAATCAGTGTCAGCCTGACTTGTAGAGGAAATGTGCTGACTGTGCAAAGTTGGAAGATGGAAACATCTCAGCAGGATTTCAAAGTCTTAGTAGAAAAAATAAACTATTGCTGCTGAATCAGGTTAGTGGCTTAAACAATGTGTGCTGGAGTGGAAATGGAGGCTCGCCAACTAATAACACAGAGGTGTTAATGACCAAAGCTAAGAACACAAAGCCTTGAGATCAACTACATGGCCGAACTGTGTGCCACACTCCTGCAACTCCAGAAGCTACAACTGCCTCATGTAAAGTCTAGAAGAACAGATGAACTGTACGTCAGAGGATGCAATCTCATTCTCAATCTATTGTGCCTCAAATCTCCTCTCACTCTCACTTCCATAAATCTTCTAGACCCATAAAACCAAGCATTCTTAAGTAACTGAAGATTAGATTTATAGCCCATCAGATTGATAACTTTATGCTGCATCATTAGTATACCTATACAGTTTACCCAGTAGGGGCTGAGCCGTGGTGCTGCCAAACAAACAAACGACAAGCAAAACCCTGCAACTCTATGTACAAAAACAACGTATATGTGTGCTTTTTAAATTTGTGACATTTCTGCACATCCTTCACCTCTCTCTCTCTCTCTCT